GGTGATGATGTGAGGTGTGGTGGTGATGGTGTGGTGGTGATGGTGTGGGCGTGGTGGTGCAGTCGTGGGTGTAGTGACGTGGGTGTAGTAAGTGGGTGTGGTGGTGATGATGTGGGTGTGGTGGCGATGGTGTGGTGGTGATGCGTGGTGGTGGTCTGGGTGTGACGTGGGTGAGGGTGGTGATGGTGTGGGTGTGGTGGTGGTGATGGTTTATGCGTAGTGATGGGTGTGGTGGCAATGGTGTGGTGGTGGTGTGGGGCGTGGTGGTGGTGATGAGTGTGGTGGTTATGGTGTGGGTGTGGTGGTTGGCTGCGTGGATGGTGGTTGGCGTGGTGGGTGTGGTGGTGATGGCGAGTGTGGTGATGTGGCGTGTGTGGTGATGTGGTTGTGGTGGTGATGGTGTGGGTGTGGTGGTGATGGTGCGGGTGTGGTGGTGCAATGGTGTGGTGGTGGTGATGGGTGTGGTGGTGGTGGTGATGTGAGTGGTGGTTATGGTGTGGGTGGTGGTTGATGTGGATGTGGTGTTGGTGGTGGGTGTGGTGGAGATGGTGGAGTGGGTGGTGACGGGCGTGTGTGTGTGGTGATGTGGTTGTGGTGGTGATGGTGTGGGTGTGGCTGTGGTGGTGATGGTGCGGGTGTGCTGGTAATGGGCAGGTTTAGTGACGTGGGTGTAGTGGGTGATGGTGGGTGGAGTGCGGCGTGGCGTGGTGATGTGGGGTGATTGGTGATGGTGCGTGGTTGTGGTGGTGATGGTGTGGGTGTGGTGGCAATGGTGTGGGTTTAGGGACGTGGGTGGTGGTGGCGATGGTGCGGGAGTGTGGTGACGTGGGTGTGTGGTGAGTGTGGGCATTGTGATGGTGTGGTTGTGGTGGTGATGGTGTGGGTGTGGTGGTGGATGGTGAGGGTGAGTGATGTGGATGAGGCTGGTGGTGACGGGTGTGGGCGATGGTGGGTGGGTGGTGATGGTGGTGGTGATGGGTGTGGTGGTGATGGTGGGTGTGGTGATGTGATGCAGTGATGTGGTTGCGGTGGTGATTGTGCCTGTTTGGTGTTGGGGTGTGGTGGCGGTGGGTGCTGAGGTGGTGGTGGTGTGGCATAGCAGGTGGTGGGTGTGGAGGTATGGGGGTGGTGATGGGCATGGGTGTGATAGTGGTGTGGGTGGTGGTGGTGGATGTTTTGTGCGGTGGTGGTATGGGTGGCGTGATGTAGGCGTGGTGGTAGGTATGGGTGTGATGGTGGTGTGGGTGGTGTGGGTGTGGTGTAGGCATGGGTGTGGTGGTGGTATGGGTGTGGTGTGGGTGCGTGTGGGTGGTGGTGGTGTGGTGTGGTGGTGGTACGGGTGTGGTGGTGGTGTGGGTGGTGGTGGTGTGGGTGTGGTGGTGGTATTGGAGGTGGTGTGGGGTGATGGTGGTGTGGGTGTGGTGGTGGCATGGGTGCGTTGGTGGTGGGTGTGGTGGCGGTGGCGTGGTGGTGGTGTGGGCATGGTGGCAGGTGTGGCGTTGGCATGGGTGTGGTGATGCGGGTGGTGATGCGTGGCGGTGGCATGGGTGCGGTGGCGGCATGGGCGTGGTGGCGGTGTGGGTGGCGGTGGTATGGGTGTGGTGATGCGGGGCGTGGTGGATGGATGTGGCGGTGGATGGGTGCGGTGGTGGTGGATGGGGGGTGGCAGGGCGTGGTGGTGGTATGGGCGTGGCGGCGGTATGGGTGTGGTGGTGTGGGTGTGGTGGTGGCATGGGGCGTGGGTGTGGGTGATGGAGTGGTGGGGGTGATGGTGGGTGGGTGCGATGGTGGTGTGGGTGTGGTGGTGGTGTGGGTGTGATGGTGGTGTGGGTGGTGGTGGTGTGGGTGGTGATGTGGGTGTGATGGTGGCTGGGTGGTGTGGGTGTGGTGGAGGTGTGGTGGAGGAGTGTGGGTGTGGTGGTGGTATGGGTGTGGTGGTGGTTGGGTGTGGTGGTGGTATGGGTGTGGTGGAGGTATGGGTGTGGGGGGGTGTGGGTGTGATAGAGGGTGTTGGCGTGGATGGTGGTGTTGGTGTGATGGTGGTGGGTGTGGATGGGTGTGGGTGGATGGAGGGTGTTGGTGATGGTGGTGTGGGTGTGATGGTGGTGTGGGTGTGATGTGGAGGGTGTTGGTGTGACGGTGGTGTGGGTGTGATGGTGGTGTGGGTGATGGTGGTGTGGGTGTGATGGAGGGTGGGTGTGGATGGTGGGTGACGGATGGGCGTGATGGTGGTGTTGGTGTGATGGTGGTGGTGGGTGTGATGGGGGTGTGGTGTGATGGAGTGGGTGGTGATGGTGGTGTGGGTGATGGTGGTGGGTGATATGGTGGTGGGTGATGGAGTGGTGCTGGTGTGATGGTGGTGTGGGTGTGATGGTGGTGTGTGTGTGATGGTGGTGTGTGATGGATGGTGTGGGTGTGGTGGTGTGGGTGATGGAGGGTGTTGGTGTGATGGTGGTGTGGGTGTGATGGTGGTGTGGGTGTGATGGTGGTGTGTGTGATGGTGGGTGATGGAGGGTGGGTGGTGATGGTGGTGGATGTGATGGAGGGTGTGGTGTGATGGTGGTGGTGGGTGTGATGGAGGTGTGGGTGATGGGGTGGGTGTGATGGTGGTGTGGGTGTGATGGTGGTGTGGAGGACGGGAGGGTGTTGGTGTGATGGTGTGGGTGATGGGTGTGGGTGATGGAGGTGTGGATTATGGTGGTGTGATGGTGGTGTGGATGTGATGGAGGTGTTGGTGTGATGGTGGTGTGGGTGTGATGGAGGGTGTGGGTGTGATGGTGGTGCGGGTGTGATGGAGGTGGGTGATGGAGGTGGGTGATGGAGGTGTGGGTGATGGAGGTGTGGGTGTGATGGTGGTGGTGGGTGTGATGGGAGGTGTGGGGTGGGGTGTGATGGTGGTGTGGGTGTGATGGTGGTGTGGGTGATGGAGGTGTGGGTGTGATGGTGGTGGGTGTGATGGTGGTGTGGGTGATGGTGTGATGATGGTGGGTGTGGGTGATGGTGGTGGGTGTGATGATGTGGGTGATGGAGGGCGTTGGTGTGGGGTGATGGTGGTGTGGGTGTGGATGGTGGTGTGGATGATGGAGGGGTGTTGGTGTGATGGTGGTGGGTGATGGAGGTGTGGTGTGATGGAGGTGGGTGATGGAGGTGGTGTGATGAGGTGTGGGTGATGGAGGTGTGGGTGTGATGGTGTTGTGGTGTGATGGAGGTGGGTGTGTGGGTGGGTGTGGATGGTGGTGTGGGTGGTGATGGTGGTGGTGGATGTGATGGATGGTGTTGGTGTGATGGTGGTGTGGGTGTGATGGGGTGTGGGTGTGATGGAGGGTGTTGGTGTGATGGTGGTGGGTTGATGGTGGTGTGGGTGTGATGGTGGTGTGGATGTGATGGAGGGTGTTGGTGTGTGGTGGTGTGTGGATGGAGGTGTGGGTGTGATGGAGTGTGTGGGGTATGCGTGGGTGTGATGGTGGTGTGGGTGATGGTGGTGTGGGTGTGGACGGTGGTGTGGTGTGGACGGAGGGCGTGGTGTGATGGTGGTGGGGTGTGATGGTGGTGTGGGTGTGATGGTGGTGGGTGTGATGGAGGGTGTTGGTGTGATGGTGGTGTGGTGTGTGATGAGGGTGTTGGTGATGGTGGTGGGTGTGGAGGGTGTTGGTGGATGGTGGTGGGTGATGGAGTGGTGTTGGTGCGATGGTGGTGTGGGTGTGATGGGGTGTGGTGCGGATGGCGGTGGGTGATGGTGGTGTTGGCGTGGATGGTGGATGGGTGTAGGTGTGGGTGGTGGTATGGGTGACGGTGGGTGTGATGGTGGTATGGGTGTGTTGTTGGTATGGGTGTGATGGTGGTATGGGTGTGGTGGTGGTATGGGTGTGGTAGTGGCATGGGTGTTGGTGGTGGTATGTTTGTGGTGGTGGTATGGTTCTGATGTAGGTAGAGTGCAGGTGTAAGTATGGTGTTAGTGAAGGTATGGTGTTGAAGGGATGAAATAAGTAATGGTGTTAGTTGTATGGTGTTGATGTATGGTGTTGGTGCGGATATGGTGACGGTGTGGGTAGTATCGAGGTGTTGGTATGGTGATGGTGTGGGCAGTATCGAGGTGTTGGTATGGTGATGGTGTGGGTAGATACGAGGTGTTGGTATGAGGCGATGGTGTGGGTAGTATCGAGGGTGTTGGTGTGGGTAGTATCGAGGTGTTGGTATGGTGATGGTGTGGGTAGATACAGGGTGTTGAGTATGTGGTGATGGTGTGGAGTAGTATCGAGGTGTTTGGTGTGGGTAGAGTCGAGGTGTTGGTGTTGGTAGCTGGTGATGGTGTGGGGTGAGTATCGAGGTCGTTAATTGCATTGATGGTGTGGGCAGTATCGGGTGTTGGTATGGTGATGGTGTGGGGTAGTATCGAGGTGTTGGTATGGTGATGGTGTGGGTAGATGCGAGGTGTTGGTATGGTGATGGTGTGGGTGGTATCAAGGGTGTTGGTGTGATTGAATCAATTGTTGGTGTGGGTAGAATCGAGGTGTTAGTTGTGGAGTATGGTGTTGGTGTGGGTAGTATCGAGGTGTTGGTATGGTGATGTGGGTAATATCAGTGTGGTATGCGTTATGGTGATGGTGTGGGTAGTATCGAGATGTTGGATGGGTATGGTGATCGGTGTGGGTAGAGTATCGAGGTGTTGGTATGGAGTGGTGGGTAGTATCGAGGTGTTGGTGTGGGTATGGTGATGGTGTGGGTAGTGGCATCGAGGGTGTTGATTGGGTATGGTGATGGTGTGGGTAGTATCGAGGTGTTGGTGTGGGTAAAATCGAGGTGTTGGTGTGGGTAGAATCGAGGTGTTGGTGTGGGTATGGTGATGGTGTGGGTAGTATCGAGGTGTTGGTATGGTGATGGTGTGGGTAGTATCGAGGTGTGGGTATGGTGATGGTGTGGGTAGTATCGAGGTGTTGGTGTGGACGTAACATTACGGGGCGTCAGGGGTAGAGTTAAGCGGACCATCATGCGAGACGCACCTGTCTTGAAGACCAGGGTTGAATCATCCATCCTGAGCTTCTTGGCTGGCGGGGGCTGCAGTTGGTGGAGGAGTGGGCGGGCCAAGAGGCTGTGGGCGGCCGCGGGAGGACCAGTAGGGCCGCCCGTGGAGTAGGACGCCGCTAGGAGGGGAGGCCGCGGTTCGCCCATGGCAGCTAACCCAGTGGAGACGCCCATGCCCATGCCCAGCCCCGCCCCCCCGCCCCCCTCGAGGGAGCGCATCTTGTTGCGGTTGGCGATGGGACAGCCCGAGGCACTGGGGACACACACCAGGGCAAGTTAGTCTGCCACCTGACCAGCGGCACCCACTACTACACACTCTCAGTATTACCAAATTGTTGGCTACTTATTTCTCAGCTTAGCATGCAGTATGTCCGATAAGGGGCACTAGCATGTTGTTACTAGTAAGTGGGATCCAGTGGCTTAACTCCACTTGAGGTCAGTTGGAGGCACCACCACCGTCTGGCTCATGACTTACACGCGACACCATTACTCTACAATTACCCAGCAACGACTGGCTTCACTCTTTAAGGCAAGCACATAGGGAGGCTCTTAATGCCTTCAATCCTCTTGTGTTTTATGTATGAAGTTTTAGTGAGTGACGACGGCTGTTAATATATGACGGCAAGACTCCCTCCCGGTGACGTTAGCGTCATGTTAGTGGCAGACGAGTGGAAGTGAAGGCCTCAAGTGGTGTTTGGTTCTGGCTCCCGTAAGCTCAGGCCTTCTTACCTCCTGTGACTGAGAAACTTGCCCGTGGAGTGCCCCGACCCATCACATCCAGGGACTGGACAGCTAAGGGCAGCACAATGGCGGTCAGTGAGGTCATGTGAGGTCATGTGAGGTGAGTGGGGCAAGAGCAGCGCTTCAGGAGGGAGGGCGGGGTCACCCCCACTCGCTCCCTGGCAGACTGATGACTAATTATCTATGGCTCTACAATCTGGCGCAGCACCATTTTGATCTTTAATATTTGAAAAGTAAGGCAAGACTGAGATCATATTACTGATTTCTGAGTAAACTGGTCTATCCATGGATGACTGGGCTTCAGTTACATTGGGCCTCCCATACACCAACATTTTAAACACAGTGAAGGGCACAAGAAAGGACCCCGCCAACAGCTGACGGTGTGGCCTGGACTAGCGGTGGCTTTCTTACCACCAGTTACTAGGTTAAGTTACTCACACAGTCGCTCACTACCAACACCCTCGACAGTTACACCTCAGTATATAACAAGCGATTTGTGTTTTGTATTAGGGGCAGGGACGACTGTTATGATTGTTCATGCAGGTGTTGTCAGTTGAAAAGTTCAATCAAAATGAATTACAAAGAAAATCAGGCTGAATCTTTGTCACATAAAGACTTGCTAGATTAGACTGTGAATTTAGTGTTTTATGAGGTATGGCTCTAAGTCTACGACATGGCTGGGATATGGATTCATATTGAGCACCAATGTCACGAATCCAAACTTTGAAGCGTCAACAAGACATGGATCCAAGCTTAGAACATTTTTTTGAGTCCAAACTAACAACAAAACTTAAAATGTGCATTCTGGGTGAGAGAACCACTAAGACGTGGATCCAAGTTAAGAGCATCATGAAGACAAAGGTGTGAGTTGAGGTCATTCCTTACACATTGATCAAAACTTAGAGCATCAGTGGGTCAAAGCCCAAGCTTCGAGCAACACAAAGATATGGTTCTGAAGCTGAGGTGTAACGAGCACATGGGTACAAGGTTAGAGCACCATTGAGTCTTAGGTCCAAAGCTCTCCGTCTGGGCCTAAGACTGGAGTGTCACTAATACATGGATGGGTCCAGACCACTGTGTCAGCTGGAGGGAGGTCTGGTCCTCAGAAGGCAACCAACAAAAGCGGGTACATACACAGCAACACACACACACACAAACTACGAACTAGAATTTGTAATTGTGAAACTTTGGCACTGGAAGTATTAAGTTCTTGCGGTATTATAATTTCCAATACAAGTGTTCAAATACCCCATAATTATTTTTTAGAAATGAACCCCATAAGTAGGTCAAAATAGCTCTACCCGAGTTCCACAATACGATTAAGTTCGTATGAGTTAACGTTAACAAGAGTTGTGAAGAAGGTAAGAAAAGTGGCACTCACCGGAGTGGTTCAGAATCCTGGGTGTCTTTAGGTTTGTGCTTGGGTTTGTTGGCTCTGGGGCAGCCGGAGAGTGAGCGGTGGGAGGAGTAGTTGCCAGTCACGTGCCCCGACCCATCACACCCGGGCGTGGGACACTTCAGCTCTTGCGTCTGGTGCTGGATACTCGAGCGATCCGCGCGGGGACATCCGGACAGGCTGGATGGTGGGGCGAGGATAGACTTGGCCAGGTGAAGATTTTTTTGACCAAGACTGTGTGCAATAGGTTACATACGATGGGTGGTTGGGTAGAGCACGAGTGGGCTGGTATGACTGCACAGGGGTTGTTGAAGCTCACCAATACTGTATGACAGGGTGCTGATCTTTGTCTCTACCTCTAACACTCACAACTACGAAATATCAGTTATCTAGGTTTCATAAGATAGACAAAGACATTTTTCACAAGTCCCCAGCCACCCGTAAGGAGAAGGCACATCACTCTCTGTTACTTTAATGTCATCCTGAGAAAACCAGCCAAGCTGCTACGGTGCTGCTTTAACAAATGACAATGTCATTGTCTTTTAATTTAATTTTGGATTCATTGTCAAGATGATGATGCAATAGCACCCAGGGATTCTACCCTCACACCCACATATGCTACCAGCAAGTTCTAATGACACTTAAATTTGACTAACTGTTTCGCTTTCTCATGATGAATATTAATGTCTGGTCAGATCCACAGAATAAAGAGGTGTCCTAGAGTGGTTAAGCCATCCATTAGAGAATACTGAACAACTCAATAGTTTAATAACTCACTGTCCATTCACTGAACTTACAAATATTAAATACCAAAAAGAGAGACCTAAGTTATACACTACTAAAACTGAGGTCCATGAAGGTGTAGGGGACACAGTCAGTGTGGGCACGTTCTCATGTCTGTCAGTCAACACAACATGCACTACTACTGGCTCTGTGACCACGAGTAAACTCGTACGGCGCTACGCATACACTGTCAGTAGCTGTGAGCTGACGATGGAGTCGAGATTTGTGTACACAGTTTGGTAAATGTGAACCCACACCTTGGTACTGTCATTCATACTCTCTGTTACTCGGCTTAGTTGTATTGAGTCTTGATGCTAACCCACACACGAACGCATTTGATGTGAACTCAAATATATAAACAAATTGAAGAACATTTACCTTTATAACTTTATACCAAGTCACCAATGTGAAAAGGCACACGTATGATAATTCTTGCCTCTCTTTGTCTCTCTCTTGTTGAGTTTCTTATAAAATTCCTGTTGATAATTGTTGGTATAACCAATCATCATTCCTTATCAATAGACGGTACCTGGTAGAAGGGTTGACTCGCTCTTCGCTACAGAGACCGCCTGTCCACTCTTCATACCCACAAAAAAATGATACTGAATTTACTTCTCGTTCTCACCACCATGCTTTTTGGCCAAGTTACGGGAGAGTGTAAACATAGTGCTAAAACATTTATTACTTCACACACACACACACAGCTAAAACTCTCTCTCTCTCTCTCTCTCTCTCACACACAGCTAAAAACCAACTTTTCCAATTTTTATGCACACAACTAAAAACACCAATTTCTACACACACACACACACACACACACACACACACACACACACACACACAAACAGCTAAAACGAACACCAGTACACACATACAGCTAAAAACAAACACCAGTACACACACACACTCACAGCTAAAACAAACACCACTACATACACACAGCTAAAACAAACACCACTACATACACACAGCTAAAACAAACACCAGTACACACACAAACAGCTAAAAACAAACACCAGTGAAGACACACACACACACACACACACGCTCACAGCTAAAACGAACACCAACGTGCAGACTCACACACACATACGGATTGAGAAGAGAGAGAAGAAGAAGAAGAAGAAGAAGAAGAAGAAGAAGAAGAAGAAGAAGAAGAAGAAGAAGAAGAAGAAGAAGAGAGAAGAAGAAGAAGAAGAGAAGAGAGAGAAGAAGAAGAAGAAGAAGAAGAAGAAGAAGAAGAGAGAAAGAAGAAAGAATAGAGTGCACACGGCCGTATCTCCTACACCTCTCCCCTACTCACATCCATAACAAGAATATTAAAAATAACAGTTAATCTAGGAGGTAGTGATCGTAAGTGTCACTTTAGGCACACCCCATAGGATCGAGCAAGCAGAGTGTGTGCCTTCGCGTTACGGGGAGGTACACTAACCTGCGGTGCGTGGCGTAGTTGCCGGTGACGTGGCCCATCCCGTCACAGCCTGGCGTCGGACACTGAATGAGCTCCTTACCGTCCCTCCGGCTACCGCTACTACGGGAGTAAGGACGTACGCTGTTGCTGGGGAGAAACCCATAGTCAATGCCACGAATACCGAGGCAAAACTAACTTAGAAATAACAGAGAAATACGAAAACCAAGAAAAAACTCACTCAACCAGTCAATCTTTCATCATCCGGGACCTTGAACTCTGTAACCCTTCAATGATCTTGACCTCTGTCCCTTGCAACCCCAGTGATATTGACCTCTGTCCCTTGCAACCCCGGTGATATTGACCTCTGACCCTTGCAACCCCCAATGACCTTGACCTCTGACCCTTGCAACCCCCAGTGACCTTGACATCTGACCTCTGTAACCCGCAAAAAATTAAAGGTATAATTCTGATCGATAATGATTTCAATTAGCAACTTAAAAAAAAAGACCCATTCAATAATATTCCTAAATGATTTGCCGCCACCATAACGCTATCCTGACACACACACAAGTACTCATCACACACCGGAACTAACCATCACACACCTGAACTAACAATCACACACCTGAATTAACAATCGCATACCTTAAATAACAGTCACACACCTGAACTAACAATCACACACCTGAACTAACAATCACACACCTGAACTAACCATCACACACCTGAATTAACAATAGCATACCTTAAATAACAATCACACACCTGAACTAACAATCACACACCTGAACTAACAATCACATACACTAATATAATAAATAGCTCTTTCATTAATAACCCTGGTGTCCTAGATATCTTTTCCTTCATCATTTACAGGTTGATTTTGTTCTAATTATTATTAAAAAAAAAAAAAATCTAAGACACTGGCCACAGGAACGCCCATGCGTGCGTAGTGTCAACAAAGGCTGTAAGAGACTACTCCTTAAAATTCGTATTTATGACTAATTCAGCGAGTCTACCAATCCCAGCCTGTGCAGACAACTATAGTAAGACCCAATTATCAGCACAGTGGCATATATTTTTTTTTTACTTTTGGACTTTGTCATTTTTTGGGGATAAAACATTTGGTCCTAGCACCCGATCCCTCTGAGCAAAGTTTTTCAAGTTTGCGCATGCGCAATGTGATAGTGTGACTTAGCAGTGACGTCATTACCACTCCACCTGACTGCAGTGTTGCCAACGTGCCCTATGCCCGCCGTTAAACGCTCCCGTTCGTTGGAAACGGCGGCAGTAGGTGACAGTGATGCTGACGACTTTCTTCTTGAAGACACGTCAAAGAAGAAGCAGAAACCTCAGAAGTCAGGGTCTCCAGCAGGGGCCACGGCTCCCCCTTGCACCCCTTCTGGGGCTGTAGAGGGTGGACTCCTCCTGTCATCGGGGTCCCCAAGTGAGCTTACATGTGGCTCAATGACCGACCCTCCGCCGACGATGGACATAGGGGATTCCCTTTGTCTCCCTGCCCCGTCGCGCCTTCGTCGTCTCGCCTTTCCTCGGGACTTGCCTCTGAGCACACGGACGACCTGGTTCTTCCGTCACTGCTCTCCACTTCAGGACTCAACACTTCGCCTCCGCCGAGGTCCCACAGCCGTGATAGTCACCACACAAATGGACGAGACGGTACGCCTGCTCACTCAGGTGGGCTTTCCTGCTCCCCAGGGGGAGGTGATGCTGAAGTTCACCACCATCACCCCAGAAACTCGTCGTACCAAGGTAATGGTTCGCCACGTACCCTGGGAGATCCCTATCGACGATCTCTTCTCCCACAACTACTGGACATGGAACGCCGCATCAACCCGGTCTCCAAACGTCCATCCAACGAACTCATCGGCTGGTGGGTGGGCCCCTTCCCTCCGAAGGTGAATGTAGGACCAATTCACAACTGTCCTCTCGACCGATTTATCGGAACCCCGAAAATCTGTGGTCGTTGCCAATCGTGGAAACACCGCACCTGGGAGTGCACGAGGATGGTCGCCTGCGGTTTCTGTGCAGGTCCTCACGACACAGTGGAATGCAAATCGAAAATTCAGAACAAAATCCCAGTTATTCCACGGTGTGTCAATTGCCATGGCAGTCACCACGCCTGGAATGCCAATTGCCCACAGCGTCCTGGCACTCGCCCGGGGAAAACTTACCTTGTACCACTGCCCTCGTCTCTGACGAAGCCCCAGTCAACCAAACCTCACTCCTATCCACCACCGCCTCTTCCATCCACCAAGGATTTCCCATTGATCTCCTCTCCTCTACCATCCCCCCTATCACCCCTACCACCCATCCTTTCTCCCCTCCCTCCCTCTCCCTACCGTTCTTGGAACAAGGTCGTTGCCGGCCCTGCCACACAGTCACCACCATCTCCTGCCCACCCGGACCCCCGCTGTCTCTCACCAGCACCACCACCTCTTACTCAACTGAACCCTCACCGTCCCTCTCCGTCGCTACCACCACCACATGCCCAGTCGGGCCCTCGGCAATCCTCGCTGCCACCTCCAGCTCCTGCACAGGTACACCAAGTTGGTTCTATGGAAACAATCACTCTCCGTCTGGATCGCCACTCCAAGCAAATCAACCTTCTCTCAGCCCAACTCGACTTGTTTGTGAAAACAATTGCGACATTGCAGAAGCAACAACAACTCATTCTGGACACCCTGACCCAACAGGGGCGCACTTTGCAAGCCCTGATGGCCCGCCTCCTTCCATCTCCCGAGATGGAGGATCCATCCCTCGCTCTCCCACTCCTCCCTCTCCATTTATCTCAACAGAATTTGGTACCTCCTCTGGAGCCCTGTCTAGCCCCTCCGACTCATCTCACACCAGAAGCCGTTCCCTCCTCTTCTTACAATGGAACATCCAGGGACTTAGACCTCGCCGGACAGACCTCGCCCAGTTTGTGCTCTCCCATCAAGTAGATGTTGCTCTACTTCAGGAAACCATCACAGACGATGTTACTCCACTCCGCCTCTCTGGCTATACTGTTTACACCCTGCCTCGGTACCGTGGGCAGGCTCATGGCCTCCTCACCCTTGTGCGTAACACCATTCCATCTGTTCGTCTCCCTTCACCTGACTCACATGGACCCCCGTCTGAATTACTTTCTGTCTCCCTTACTCTTGGTGACCGGACCCTTCGTGTAGTCAATGTTCATTTCAAGAGTGATTCTCTGGACCCCCAGGTTCTTCACGACCTCCATGATGGGATTCCCACTATTGTTCTTGGCGACTTTAATGCCCGCCATCCCACTCTTACTCCGGATCATCCCACGCCATGTACCCTTAACGGATCACATCTCTCACAGTTTCTTAATGGGGATGATGATGTTCGCTTTCTTTGTCCTGACGATCCTACTCGCCTTCCCCATAGTTTCCTTGATGTTGGCTTACTATTGAACGGTCATACCTCCTTTCATCCTACCGTCTGCACCGAGCCTGCTCTGTATAGTGACCATCTTGCCGTTACTACCCATCTCCGGCTCTCCTTCTCTGCCCCGACATCAACTCCTTATCGATCCCCTCGCCTTCGTCTCACACAAGATGCTGTTCCTTCCTTTACCCAATACCTTTCTACCTGGGCGGATTCCTATGTTGTCCCTCAGTCCCTTGACTCTTACAGCGCTGATTTTGTTGATGCCGTGTATGACTCTGTCAATCGCGCTACCCCTCCACGCCCTCCCCGTCACCCCAGAAGTGCCACCAACTACTGGTATCGTATCCCTGCCATGAGACATCCGGCAGGTAACCCGTGATCTCCACTCTGCCATACGGAGGTCTCGGTCTCCAGAGGACTGGGAAGACTTCAAAAATTGGTGCTCCTTTGCAACTCAGGAGCGCCGTCGGATACGTGAGGCGGACTGGCTATCCTTCACGGGGTCTCTATCGTTCCAGTCGTCACCCTCTTATGTATGGAATCGGATTAATGCTATACGGGGTACTCGACGGAGGCCTCCTCCCCACCCTGACCCCGCCTCCCTTGCCTGCTCTTTAATGGAGGACTGGGCACGAGCTTCCTCCCCTGAGGCACTTCCAGATCCAATGCAGGAGGCAGTGCAGGCCCGCATCGTTGCGTCTGAGCCTGTTGTTCGTGCTGCTCTTACCTCCCCTGCCCCCACTGATCATCCCATCACACAGTTCGAGCTTGACAGTGCTCGTCGCTCTAGAAAAGACACCTCTCCTGGGGATGATCAGATAACCTACTCCGTCCTCAACGCCTGTACTAATATTCCTAACGGCCCCTTGCTTGCTCTCTACAATATGTCTTATGAACATGGGGTTCTCCCGTCCAACTGGAAAAATGCCACTATTATCCCCATCCCTAAGCCGGGAGATCCTGGGAAATATCGACCCATTAGTCTTACCTCCTGTGTTTGCAAGATGATGGAGAGGATACTCCATCGTCGCCTTCTTCACACCATAGGCGGCTTCCACAACTCCTCAATGGTTTCATTCAACATCGCAGCACAGCACACTCCATTGCTTCCTTTTATTGCAATCAGACTGCCCGCGTCTCCGTCTTCCTTGATATCAAGGGAGCCTTTGATACGGCTCAGCCTGCCCTCATTTTAGCTGAACTTGCGCGGTTAGGGGTTAAAGGGAGACTTCTACAATGGATCGCCTCTTACCTCACTGGACGTCATGCCCGGGTTCGCGTTGAAGGCTCTATGTCTCCTGTTCAAGAAATGAACCTCGGCATCCCTCAAGGTGGAGTCCTGAGTCCCACTTTGTTTAACACTCTCATGCACTCCATTGCATCTCTCCCGTGGCCGACAGAAGTTGTCCACTCAGGATATGCCGACGATGTCCTCCTCCAAGCCCCTGACTACCTCAGCATGCAGGGAGCCCTTGATCTGGTCTCCAGAGAGCGTGATTCACTTGGTTTCCTTCTTTCAACTGCGAAAACAAAAGCCATGTGGCACGGTCGTGTTGTACCTCCACCCCTTCTCTTATCAGGAACGCCCTTGGACTGGGTTAATGAGACAAAATACCTGGGTGTGTATGTAACTCGCACACGTTGTCAGATCCCTGAAGTCTGCTATCTTCGAGACATATGCTTTCGGCGTATCGCTCCCCTCTCTACCATGTGCAGGGGTTCCCTTGGTGCCACCATCCCTGTACTTCTCACCATGTACAAGTCCTTTGTCCGTTCCTGTGTCGACTACGCCGCCCCTGCCCTCGTCAACATTAGTCGGACTGCTGTCAACCGTCTCGAAGTTATCCAGAGGAAAGCTGCTCGTATCATCCTTGGGGCTCCTCAGTGGACACGCTTTACTTCTCTATATACCGAACTTGGTCTTTCCCCCTTACAGGATCGTGTCCAGGAGTTTTACCTAAAAACTGCCGTTTCCATTCTACGGGATCCTCGGGGCATCTATGTCCAAACCAACTTGACTTCTGCTGTCCGAGACCGACCTCCATCTAGAAGACAGTGGCGAGGGTCACTCATCCGAGCCCTTCAGGAACACGACCTCCTGCCTGATATTGTTGTCACCCCTGCTGTTGGTTCGTCTCCTTCTCCCTGGCTGGATTTTCAACCTGAAGTGATTGCCCTCGGTGGACCGCTCCCGAAATCCCAGGTGAACCCTGTTATTCTCTGCAAATACCACCTCTCCAGGATCGCCCACTGGTCCCCAGGTAGGGTCGTCCTCTACACTGATGGTTCTGTTGACCCCGCTACAGGTAGGGCCGGGGCTGGTGTCTACATCTCCAGTCCCCATGCCCCTGAGCCTATCAAACTGTCTCTCAGAGTTTCTGACGGGGCATCCTCCACTCAGGCTGAACTAATAGCCCTCCTTGCTGCCCTTCTCGCTGAGGAAGAAGCAGATGGTTTCTGCCCCTTGCTTGTCTGCTGCGATTCCAGGTCTGCTCTCGACGGGATCGCCTTTGGATCAGGGGAAAATAAGGACCTCAAAACAGAAAACAATTTGTACACAAAAAACGGGAAAATCTTTTAAACTAAAACTAAAAACAAAAAGCAAAATGTACGCTAAAAACGGGTAAAATTAACTTCCAGATAGAAATCAAAACTTTTATCCCTGTGTAAAATTCTACGTGCAAACTTTACCATTTAAAATACCTAAACATTTGTACTTAAAAACTTAAAAATTTAGAAGTGAATGGTCAAGTGTGTAGACATCAGCTATTTCAAATTATGTATAAGAGTATACTGTATATGTATACCTAAACTGAAGCGAAATGTGACTTGTGCAGATATTTAGATACTTAAGAAAGAATTTTTAACATTGGTGAATAGTGATGTGTGTAAAGTTTTCTTCCTTAAAAATATCGAAACTTTAGCACTTAGATATTAAAACTACCAGAAAACTGACCTGTGCAGACCTCCGTTACTTCGAAACACTACTAAACATTTGCACTTAAAAAACAATTAAAAAGCGACCGATAAGAACATCAACTCGGCTAAAATAAGTAAACATTTATACTCGGAAACTAAAATCTCACTAAGAAACGTTACTTTTTACTTTTAATTAACACCTTTACTAGTCTAATATAAGTAGATATTTCCACTTACAAACTTAACACACTTAATATACGTAAAAAGCAAAACAAAACAACAGCCTTCGCACCTGTCTGGCATGGGCGTGGGCGGGGGTTGTGAGCGGGAGGGGGAGAGCTGGTAGGGCGTGGTGCAAGCGCTCGTCGTCATGTAGTCTCCGCCCATCGTAGCCCCGTAGCTGCCGGCTCCCATGTAGCCCCCTTGGTAGCCCTGATAGCCCATGTAACCCGCGTTGTAGGCCGTGGTCACGTCATAGGGCCGGGTCGTCATGGTGTTGTAGCCTGGTTAGTTGTGGTTAGTGGGTTAATTATGGTTAGTGGTGGCTAATAGGTTAGTGGAGATTAATGGGCTATTAGTGGTTAGGGGTGGTTAGTAGTGGCTAGTGGTGGTTAGTGGCGATTAGTGGTGGTTAGTGGAGATTAATGGGTTAGTGGTGATTAGAGGTTTAGTGGTGGTTAGTAGTGGTTAATGGTGGTTAGTAGTGGTGAGTAGTGGGTTAGTAGTGGTTATTGGCGGTTAGTGGTGGTTAATGGTTAGTGGAGATTAATGGGTAAGTGGTGATTGGAGGCGGTTAGTGGTAGTTAGTTTTGGTTAGTGGTAGTTAGTTTTGGTTAGTGGTAGTTAGTAGTGGTTAGTAGTGGTTAGTGGTAGTTAGTAATGGTTATTAGTGGTTATTAGTGGTTAGTAGTGGTTAGTTGTGGTTAGTGGTAGTTAGTAGTAGTTACTAATGTTTAGTAGTGGTTAGTAATGGTTAGTAGTGGTTAGTAGTGGTTAGTGGCAGTTAAGTGTTGGTTAATGGGTTTGTGGTGATTAGTGGGGCTTACTAGTGGTTAGTGGAGATTGACGGTGGTTAATTGTGGTTAGTGGTAGTTAGTAGTGGTTAGTAGCGGTTAGTGGCGGTTAATGGGTTAGTGGTGATTAGTGGGTTAGTGATGGTTAGTAGTGTTTAGTGGCGGTTAGTGGTGATTAGTTGTGGTTAGTTGTGGTTAGTGGTGGTTAGTTGTGGTTAGTGGTGGTTAGTAGTGATTAGTGGCGGTTAGCAATGGTTAGTAATGGTTAGTGGTGGTTAGTGGTGATTAGCAGCAGTTAGTGGTGGTTAGTAGTGGTTAGTGGTGGATAGTAGTGGTTAGTGGTGGTTATTAGTGGTTAGTGGTGGTTACTGTGGTTAGTTGTGGTTAATGGTGGTTAGTGGTGGTTAGTTGTGGTTAGTTGTGGTTAATGGTGGTTATTGTGGTTAATAGTAGTTAGTGGTGGTTAGTTGTGGTAAGTGATGGTTAGTGGTAGTTAGTAGTGGTTAGTAGTGGTCATTGTGGTTAGTGGTGGTTGGTATTGGTTATTGTGGTTAGTGTTGAACATTGGTGGTTAATGGGTTAGTGGTGGTTAATGGGTTAATTGTGGTTAAGGGTTACTGATGTTAATGGGTTAGTGGTGGTTTGTAGTGATTAGTAGTGGTTATTGTGGTTGTGGTGGTTGGTAGTGGTTATTGTGGTTAGTGGTGGTTATTGTGGTTGAAGGTAGTTGGTTAGTGGTGGTTAGTAGTGGTTATTGTGGTTAGTGGTGGTTGTGTTAGTGGTTATTGTGGTTAGTTGGTGGTTGGTAGTGGTTATTGTGGTTAGTGGTGGTTGGTAGTGGTTATTGTGGTTAGTGGTGGTTAGTAGTGGTTAGGTAGTGGTTATTGTGGTTAGTGGTGGTTGGTAGTGGTTATTGTGGTTGAGTGGTGTTGGTAGTGGTTAATGGGTTAGTGGTGGTTGGTAGTGGTTATTGTGGTTAGTGGTGGTTAGTGGTGGTTAATGGGTTAGTGGTGGTTAGTGGTGGTTAATGGGTTAGTGGTGGTTAGTGGTGGTTAATGGGTTAATTGTGGTTAAAGGGTTACTGATGTTAATGGGTTAGTGGTGGTTAATGGGTTATTGATGGTTAATGGGTTACTGATGGTTAATGGATTATTGATGGGTAATGGGTTATTGATGGTTAATGGGTTATTGAAGGAGAATAAAGATGTTAGTAATGTTACATGATACTTATAGATCCAGATGTTAGTAATGTTTAGTGATACTTATAGATCCAGATGTTAGTAATGTTTAGTGATACTTATAGATCCAGATGTTAGTAATGTTAGTGATACTTATAGATCCAGATGTTAGTAATGTTAGTGATACTTATAGATCCAGATGTTAGTAATGTTAGTGATACTTATAGATCCAGATGTTAGTAATGTTAGTGATACTTATAGATCCAGATGTTAGTAATGTTAGTGATACTTATAGATCCAGATGTTAGTAATGTTAGTGATACTTATAGATCCAGATGTTAAGTAATGTTAGTGATATATAGATCCAGATGTTAAGTAATGTTTAGTGATACTTATAGATCCAGATGTTAGTAATGTTAGTGATGCTTATAGATCCAGATGTTAGTAATGTTTGAAGTGATACTTATAGTCAGATGTTGGTAATGTTAGTGATATATAGATCCCGGAATGTTAGTAATGTTTGTTGATACTTATAGATCCAGATGTTAGTAATGTTTAGTGATATATAGTCAGATGTTAGTAATGTTAATGATATATAGATCCAGATGTTAGTAATGTTAGTGATGTATAGATCCAGATGTTAAGTAATGTTGAGTGATACTTATAGATCCAGATGTTAGTAATGTTTAGTGATACTTATAGATCAGATGTTAGTAATGTTTAGTGATACTTATAGATCCAGATGTTAATGTGTTTAGTGATACTTATAGATCCAGATATTAGTAATGTTAGTGATACTTATAGATCCAGATGTTAAGTAATGTTAGTGATATATAGATCCAGATGTTATTGTGTTTAGTGATACTTATAGATCCAGATGTTAGCTAATGTTAGTGATACTTATAGTCAGATGTTGGTAATGTTAATGAATGCTTATAGATCAGATGTTAGTAATGTTAGTGATACTTATAGTCAGATGTTAGTAATGTTTAGTGATATATAGATCCAGATGTTAGTGATATATAGATCCAGATGTTAGTAATGTTTAGTGATACTTATAGATCAGATATTGGTAATGTTATTGATACTTATAGATCCAGATGTTAGTAATGTTTAGTGATACTTATGAATCCAGATGTTGATAATGTTTGGTGATATATGATCAGATCATTGGTAATGTTAATTGATATATAAGATCCAGATGTTATTAATGTTTAGTGATACTTATAGATCCAGATGTTAGTAATGTTTAGTGATACTTATAGATCCAGATGTTAGTAATGTTAGTGATACTTATAGATCCAGATGTTAGTAATGTTTAGTGATACTTATAGATCCAGATGTTAGTAATGTTTAGTGATACTTATAGATCCAGATGTTAGTAATGTTTAGTGATACTTATAGATCCAGATGTTAGTAATGTTAATGATACTTATAGATCCAGATGTTAGTAATGTTTAGTGATACTTATAGATCCAGATGTTAGTAATGTTTAGTGATACTTATAGATCAGATGTTAGTAATGTTAGTGATCTTATAGATGTCCAGATGTTAGTAATGTTTAGTGATACTTATAGATCCAGATGTTAGTAATGTTTAGTGATACTTATAGATCCAGATGTTAGTAATGTTTAGTGATACTTATAGATCCAGATGTTAGTAATGTTTAGTGATACTTATAGATCCAGATGTTAGTAATGTTTAGTGATACTTATAGATCCAGATGTTAGTAATGTTACATGATACTTATAGATCCAGATGTTAGTAATGTTTAGTGATACTTATAGATCCAGATGTTAGTAATGTTTAGTGATACTTATTGATCCAGATGTTAGTAATGTTAGTGATACTTATAGATCCAGATGTTAGTAATGTTTAGTGATACTTATAGATCCAGATGTTAGTAATGTTTAGTGATACTTATAGATCCAGATGTTAGTAATGTTTAGTGATACTTATAGATCCAGATGTTAGTAATGTTTAGTGATACTTATAGATCCAGATGTTAGTAATGTTTAGTGATACTTATAGATCCAGATGTTAGTAATGTTAGTGATACTTATAGATCCAGATGTTAGTAATGTTTAGTGATACTTATAGATCCAGATGTTAGTAATGTTTAGTGATACTTATAGATCCAGATGTTAAGTAATGTTTAGTGATACTTATAGATCCAGATGTTAAGTAATGTTAGTGATACTTATAGATCCAGATGTTAGTAATGTTTAGTGATACTTATAGATCCAGATGTTAGTAATGTTAATGATACTTATAGATCCAGATGTTAAGTAATGTTTAGTGATACTTATAGATCCAGATGATAGTAATGTTTAGTGATACTTATTGATCCAGATGTTAGTAATGTTTAGTGATACTTATAGATCCAGATGTTAGTAATGTTAATGATACTTATAGATCCAGATGTTAGTAATGTTTAGTGATACTTATAGATCCAGATGTTAGTAATGTTTAGTGATACTTATAGATCCAGATGTTAGTAATGTTTAGTGATACTTATAGATCCAGATGTTAGTAATGTTTAGTGATACTTATAGATCCAGATGTTAGTAATGTTTAGTGATACTTATAGATCCAGATGTTAGTAATGTTAGTGATACTTATAGATCCAGATGTTAGTAATGTTAGTGATACTTATAGATCCAGATGTTAGTAATGTTAGTGATACTTATAGATCCAGATGTTAGTAATGTTTAGTGATACTTATAGATCCAGATGTTAGTAATGTTAGTGATACTTATAGATCCAGATGTTAGTAATGTTTAGTGATACTTATAGATCCAGATGTTAGTAATGTTAGTGATACTTATAGATCCAGATGTTAGTAATGTTTAGTGATACTTATAGATCCAGATGTTAGTAATGTTAGTGATGATCCAGATAGTAATGTTAGTGATACTTATAGATCCAGATGTTAGTAATGTTTAGTGATACTTATAGATCCAGATGTTAGTAATGTTTAGTGATACTTATAGATCCAGATGTTAAGTAATGTTATACTTATAGATCCAGATGTTACTTGATACTTATAGATCCAGATGTTAGTAATGTTTAGTGATACTTATAGATCCAGATGTTAGTAATGTTAGTGATACTTATAGATCCAGATGTTAGTAATGTTTAGTGATACTTATAGATCCAGATGTTAGTAATGTTTAGTGATACTTATAGATCCAGATGTTAGTAATGTTTAGTGATACTTATAGATCCAGATGTTAGTAATGTTAGTGATACTTATAGATCCAGATGTTAGTAATGTTTAGTGATACTTATAGATCCAGATGTTAGTAATGTTTAGTGATACTTATAGATCCAGATGTTAGTAATGTTTAGTGATACTTATAGATCCAGATGTTAGTAATGTTAGTGATACTTATAGATCCAGATGTTAGTAATGTTTAGTGATACTTATAGATCCAGATGTTAGTAATGTTTAGTGATACTTATAGATCCAGATGTTAGTAATGTTTAGTGATACTTATAGATCCAGATGTTAGTAATGTTAGTGATACTTATAGATCCAGATGTTAGTAATGTTTAGTGATACTTATAGATCCAGATGTTAGTAATGTTTAGTGATACTTATAGATCCAGATGTTAGTAATGTTTAGTGATACTTATAGATCCAGATGTTAGTAATGTTTAGTGATACTTATAGATCCAGATGTTAGTAATGTTTAGATCTGATACTTATAGATCCAGATGTTAGTAATGTTTAGTGATACTTATAGATCCAGATGTTAGTAATGTTTAGTGATACTTATAGATCCAGATGTTAGTAATGTTAGTGATACTTATAGATCCAGATGTTAGTAATGTTAGTGATACTTATAGATCCAGATGTTAGTAATGTTTAGTGATACTTATAGATCCAGATGTTAGTAATGTTTAGTGATACTTATAGATCCAGATGTTAGTAATGTTAATGATACTTATAGATCCAGATGTTAGTAATGTTAGTGATACTTATAGATCCAGATGTTAGTAATGTTTAGTGATACTTATAGATCCAGATGTTAGTAATACTTAAAGATTCAGCGATGAAAGTATGTTTATACGAAGTAAATATTCATATGTTAGTTAGACTTAAGGAGACATAACTAATGTTAATAATATTCAAAAGATACACAGAGATTCAGATGTTAGAATAATGTTTACAGTTGAATGTTAGGGAAAGGGTAAACAGTGTTGAATCTTATATCACTTACAAAGACGAATGGAAATAAGGTGAGTACAGGTGAAGACTGGCAATGGGTTCTTAATTACACAGGTAATGTTTAATTGATGAGGTCTCAACTCTCACAGGTATTAAAAGCACCACAAAGATGTTTAAATGTATGGGGGGAGGAGTGATTTGCAATGGTAAGGTCAATTTGAAATTCTCTTAGATTGAAAGTTAATTTAAACATATGACCAGAAGTGTAAGAGTGATGCAGGAAGGTTCCAAAATCAAGCAGAGTGAAGGATTATACAGTTCACCAGTGACAACAAAAAGAAACCCTCACCAACACAAAACAAAGTGAAGACTAGTGAAGAGTACTCATGGTCACCAAGACAAAAGCAGAATAGGACGAGGCATTAGATGACTGGCTCACTAGGTCACCAAGCCTATGCAACAATTGGTCACCAAAACGGACCTCAAACGCATATGCCCTGTAACTTAGGACACAAAAGTCACTAGCTCAAGCACAAGTCCAAACATGAATCACCAAGGCTTCCACAAAACTCCAATAGGATGGGTTTTGTCACCATCCCTAGCACCACCATGAACATCACCAAGCCATTACAGCAGTCACCCATATGAGACATGAAAACGAAGACGGGTATATACTGTATGTCACCAAACCAAGCAACACAAGTCACCAAAGACGGGGGCGTGTCCGGGGGGTCTCACCATTCATGTTCCTGAAGTCGTGTGTTCTGTCGGGAGTGGTGGCGTAGGTGTTATCGTGGGGCGGGCAGGCGGGGGCGGTAGGGGCGCGGGAGTAGTCAGGGGTGACGCCGTACTCTAGGGGCCGCGCCAGGCTGAAGTTGACGGGCTCGGCTGGGGAGGAGAAATCTACGGGCTCTGTCTGTTCGTCGATGCCCGGAGGCTGCTGGAAGGGCGCGCCGCCTCCAGGGTAACCCGACCCCAGGCGTGAGGGAGGGCTGTACTCTGGGCTTGTGGGTCCACTGTGGAGAAACACGCACATTATCTATCTAGCCATTTATCTATATCTATATAAAACCTTATATGCATTTATCTAATTCCACCCAACTATTTCTTTTTGTCTTTCTCTCAGTATTCCCTTTCCGTTAACAATGAATATTACTGAAGATAAGAGCAGAGGAAGTAACAGGATACAAGGTACACTAATAACTGAATAACTACTCTAAAAATAACCTGTTTTATCTTCATCACTGGTATATAGAGAACGGTCAAAGTAATAATAACTCTTTGTATTTTGATCGTCAAGTACAAGACTTATTGGGTTACTGAGTGGTGCCAAGTATAGCTGAATACTAATATCTATAGTAACGAGCTTATACTCAGTTTATACAAGGTTAACAGCACTTTACGGGTAACTGTATCCCTGTGTTAATGCTGAACTTAAGTATAGGTGTATCTAATCATTTGTTTTTGTGACTTACGTGTCCAGGTAGGTGTAGGTATAGTACCTGAGAGAGCCGGGTGGGCGGGCTAGAGAGAGGTCGAGAGTTTGGTTGGTGTGCTGAGAGTCGTGAGAGCTGCCTGGGGACACAAGCTGTGGGCCGCTGTAGCAGGGGGACACGCCTGGCCCAGGGTAGTGCGGGGATGTCACCATGGGTCCTCCAGTACCCATGGGGCCCGAGAGGTCCATGACATTAGCCGGAGACATGGGATTAGGGCCCAATGCCGAGGTCTTGACGCTGAGGTTGATTGCCGAGCTGTCGTAGCGGTAGCCGGGGCTGTGGGAGGAAGGAAGGGATGAGGAACGAGTTAGTTAATACACTTGATAGAGGTACAGTACTGCCATAAGAGACTCGCTTTTAATTTTTCTCAAATTTTCTGTAGTTATATTTACTATGAAGGATATTTAAGTAGTTTAAACTTCCTTATTGTATATTCATTCTTAAAGTGTTTATTTACTTTAATACATCGAGAATTACACAAAAACACCCAAAATTGCCATAAAAATCACAGGTGGCAAGTAATTACTATTACAAAACTAATCAAAATTTTCAGAGAACCAATGGGACAAGAAATTACCCCAATTCCAACTTTTTGACCCAAGATCCTCCATCAGCACATAGAAGAATACTTGTATTGAGATTTTGAACAAACTAAAAAATTTCGAGATTATGACAGAAAAACAAATTTTCTCAACGAATCAGGAATTAACTTATCGGCGATGAATTTTGTAAAGAGTGTGAGATGGGACTGACCTTTGGTACATGGAGTTGGGTGGAACTGGCGGCATACAGGCAACAGAACAGGGCGTCGGAGTGTCGTTGAGCTTGACCTCCGCCCCACACGCCTTGTTCATGAAGAAACTGTTGTGGGTGGTGGTGATTGGGTACTCCGAGGACACGGGCGGCTTGAGGGCATCAAAGGGACCATGTGAGAGAAGGGAACCATTACCGCTCACGAGGGGGCCTGGGGTCATGGGGGCGATAGACCCCCCTGGTAAGGATCCACCACCAGCGACGGTGGTGTCGAATGTGGTGGGCGTGGGCGGCATGTGTGGTTGTGAGACAGGGATGGCGGACTGGCGGTCCAGGTCTAGAGTGGTGTAGGAGTGGGGGAGGTCAAACCGCGCCTCACTCGCCCGCACCTCCGTGATGGCTGCAGGTCGGATCAAGCCCGCCTCGTCCTCACCTTTGTAACCAAAGCAGCCCAGCCCCGAGCTCTCCGTGGCCTTGACGCTCACCGAGGAGTTGAGGGAGGAGAGAGCTTTGTGAGGACTGTGACTGTGAGTTCTGCTGTTGTTGTTACTATTACTGCTGTTGTTGGGGCTGGTGGTTGTGGTAGTGCCACTGTTGCTGGTGTTGGTGTTGTTGTTATTGTTGTTGTTATTGTTGGTAGTGGTGGTGTTGTTGTTGTTGGTTGGGGTAAGGGCCAGCCTGCCTCCCCCTGCCACCTCCTCCATGCAGGCCTTGGGAGGATCCTGAGGGCGGAGGCCGGGTGGGTCGCGGGCTGCAGGGGGCGGCAGCGTTGACGTCTCCATCAAGCGGTCACGATCACACGACCGCGCTTCAACACTATTGCTGGAAGTGGCGGAAGATGTTCCCGCGAAACTGGTCGAGCAAATTCCGGCACTTTTGAGGATGGAGGAGGGACTTGCAGCTGATGGAGGGGGTGAAACCCCAGTGAGGCTTGTGTCTTCCTCTGACGCAGGGGAACACAGGGAAGCGAACCCCTGCGGGGAAGGAATACTGACAGAAGTTGTCACTGAAGGTTTACACAAAGTGGAAGACGTTACGTAAGTCTCTGTCTTTGCCACCACTGGCAACGTTAAATCGGACGAAGTGGAGGCAAACGTTGAGGGTATTAGAGATAAAGATTTTGAGGAGGGTCCGGCGGTCAGGTCTAGACTAGTGGGGAGTGACGCTGAGGTCCCTGGAAACACTGGAGTAGAGGAGACAGTGGCTGACGAAATTGAAGACGTGGTGGAGGCTACGGAAGCACTGGCTGCGCCAGAGAGGAGAGGGAGCGATGGCTGAGAGAAGTCGAGCTGCTTCACCAAACACACGGGCCTCAAGAGGTGGTCTGAGGTTGGGGCTGTGAACAAGACACACTGCTATTACACACAATAAACATTATTTCACGTATTATTGCAGTTTGTAATGAATGAATACAGAAGTAGTAAATAATGGTAAAGTAACGCCAGATAACCCATTTGAAATATAATCGTGAAATACTGTTAATTATATGACAAATATGACGTATGATATAGATAAAGTTATGTTATATTACTAAATAAAAGAGTTAATTTTGCATTTTACATTAATTTATACACTGCAGGACTTGGAGGATAAATCACACTGAAATATTCACTCCGTAATTACAGGGATCTGTAAGTCTAATACAGCACCTGGGTGTGTCCTGCACCACATGTCTGCTGTACCACGCACATGTCTGCTGTACCATTCACATGTCTGCTGTAACACTCATACGTCTGCCGTAACACTCACATGTCTGCTGTAACACTCATACGTCTGCTTTAACACTTATATGTCTGCTGTAACACTTATATGTCTTCTGTACCACTTACATGTCTGCTGTAACACTCACATGTCTGCTGTAACACTCATATGTCTGCTGTAACACTCGTATGTCTGTTGTAACACTCATATGTCTGCTGAAACATTCATATGTCTGCTTTAACACTCATACGTCTGCTTTAACACTTATATGTCTGCTGTAACACTCACATGTCTGCTGTATCACTCACACGTCCGCTGTACCCTTCATACGTCTGCTGTACCACTCACATGTCTGCTGTAACACTCATATGTCTGCTGTAATACTCATATGTCTGCTGTAACACTTATGTCTGCTGTAACAGCTATATGTCTGCTTAACACTCATACGTCTGCTCTGCTGTAACACTCATATGTCTGCTGTATCACTCATGCGTCTGCTGTAACTCACCAGTCTGCTGTAGCGGGATGTGTGGTTGCTGCAGAAGGGCCATGCGTTGGCGGGCGTGTCTGGCGGCCTGCTTGGAGGCGGCGGCGACGGGGCAGCCGGAGAGGGAGCGATGGCAGTGGCGGGACTGGTTTACGTGACCCCGGCCGGAACACCCGGGCGTCGGGCACTTGACAATCGTCTCGTGCGCCGCGAGGACTGAAACACGACACCTATGTTACACACCTGTCCATGACCCGATGTGACCTTGTTAGACGCCTGTCTATAACCTTATGTGACCCTGTTATACACTTGTCCATGAACTTGTTGCAAACTTGTCCATGACGTGTATGACGTTAAGCAACCTTATTGCACACCTGTCCATAACCTTGCTACACACCTAAAACCTTAAAGGATCTAGTTACACACCTGTCTAAGACCCTAAATAACTCCTACACACCTGTATACAAATCCACATGTCCCTCTCTCACAAATCTGTCTATAGTCTTGTGTGCCCTCGTTATACACCTGTCTATGACATTATGCGTTATGTGTTTCTTAAATATCTATCTATAACGTCGTGACACACCTCACACACCTGTCTATGACCGTGCATAACGCAGTAACACACATGTCTATGACCCTGCATAACGCAGTAACACACCTGTCTATGACCGTGCATAACGCAGTAACACACCTGTCTATGACCGTGCATAACGCAGTAACACACCTGTCTATGACCGTGCATAACGCAGTAACACACATGTCTATGACCCTGCATAACGCAGTAACACACCTGTCTATGACCCTGCATAACGCAGTAACACACCTGTCTATGACCCTGCATAACGCAGTAACACACCTGTCTATGACCCTGCATAACTCGGTAACACACCTGTCTCTATGCACCATAACGCAATAACACACCTGTCTATGACCCTGCATAACTTGCAACATTAATTTGCCTATGACCCTGCATAAACCTAACAACACACTTGCCCAGAATCTCTGCATAACTCGGTAACACAACACCCGTTCATGACCCCTGCATAACTCAGCAACACACCCGTCTGGCGATCCTGCATGCAATCAGTAACACACCTGTCTATGATCCTGCATAACTCAGTAACACACCTGTCTATGATCCTGCATAACGTAGTAACACACCTGTCTATGATCCTGCATAACTCAGTAACACACATGTCTATGATCCTGCATAACTCAGTAACACACCTGTCTATGATCCTGCATAACTCAGTAACACACCTGTCTATGACCCTGCATAACTCAGTAACACACCTGTCTATGATCCTGCATAACTCAGTAACACACCTGTCTATGATCCTGCATAACTCAGTAACACACCTGTCTATGATCCTGCATAACTCAGTAACACACCTGTCTATGACCCTGCATAACTCAGTTACACACATGTCTATGACCCTGCATAAGTCAGTAACACACCTGTCTATGACCCTGCATAACTCAGTAACACACCTGTCTATGACCCTGCATAACTCAGTAACACACATGTCTATGACCCTGCATAACTCAGTAACACACCTGTCTATGACCCTGCATAACGCAGTAACAACACACATAAGCCCATGACCCTGCATAACCCAGTAACACACATGTTCATGACCCTGCATAACTCAGTAACACACCTGTCTATGATCCTGCATAACTCGGTAACACACCTGTCTATGATCCTGCATAACTCAGTAACACACCTGTCTATGACCCTGCATAACTCAGTAACACACCTGTCTATGATCCTGCATAACTCGGTAACACACCTGTCTATGATCCTGCATAACTCGGTAACACACCTGTCTATGATCCTGCATAACTCAGTAACACACATGTCTATGACCCTGCATAACTCAGTAACACACATGTCTATGACCCTGCATAACTCAGTAACACACATGTCTATGACCCTGCATAACGCAGTAACACACCTGTCTATGACCCTGCATAACTCAGTAACACACCTGTCTATGATCCTGCATAACCACATGTCTATGACCCTGCATAACTCAGTAACACACATGTCTATGACCCTGCATAACTCAGTAACACACCTGTCTATGACCCTGCATAACGCAGTAACACACCTGTCTATGACCCTGCATAACTCAGTAACACACATGTCTATGACCCTGTATAACTCAGTAACACACCTGTCTATGACCCTGCATAACTCAGTAACACACATGTCTATGACCCTGCATAACGCAGTAACACACATGTCTATGACCCTGCATAACTCAGTAACACACATGTCTATGACCCTGCATAACTCGGTAACACACATGTCTATGACCCTGCATAACTCAGTAACACACATGTCTATGACCCTGCATAACTCAGTAACACACATGTCTATGACTCTATATAACCAAGGATTCTGTGAGAATAGCTCACTCCAATGGGTGAACGCATTCACTGCCCAATGTGGCGCCGCCAAGCGACCGGAGAGTAAACCAAATAAACACCAAGCAGGAGATAAAGGGACGAAGATGAAGAACTCAGCGACATCCCGTTTTTCTAATGTTTTGTTAATTTTTTAGCAGCTGCAATGGGACCCCGGTACTGTGCACCTATTAAATGCTCTACCAACTCTGTAAGGAACAGAAGCCTGTCTTCTTTTGATTACTGAAATATCCAGAGGCGAGTCTTGCACTTACTTCTGTCAATGTTGACTGTTTATTAGTTTTTATGAGCATTTTATTTTAATGCATTTAGTAGCCTACTGATAACGTTCCACTCTTCAGAATTGCTAGTTATCAGAGTTTCATTAGGATATACAAGATGAGCGGGATACTGTTGGATTGTCGAAAATATAAGGCAGGAACTTTGAAGTTTTGGGTCATTATTCGTTTTAGGACCACCCACGACTTTTTGGACGAAATTTTGTTTTCCTGTATATTTCGATGTGTTTGAGTGGACTTCATATTCATTTCTTGGGTTAATTAATGAGAACCTTACAAACCCAATCCAAATTATGTGGTAAAAACACAAAAAATAACCTAACGAAATCTAACCTAACGTATGTTTACCTACCTAACCTAACTATACCTAACCTATCCTATACTTAACCTAACTTTACCTTTGTCTTGGCAATTTTGTGTAGTTTCGTGAAAACCAAACCGTTAGAATTTGTAAAGTACTGTACAACTACTAAAATTTTGTAGCCTAAACAAAGGACCCTATATTCATGCTGAACTGTATACGTAGCTGTATAACTGTACTTGGACAGTTTATATACATTAAAATTTCACTGAAAAAAGATTATCATAACTATTATTTCAACTGGGAATAATGTAGCCTGATCTTCAAACCTTTTGCCACTGTGGGAGCCGAATCTTAAAACCTACAGTCTTAAATTCCCAGCAATAAAGTGGTAGTTGTGTAGTTTTGAAGCAGTTCTGAACCCTTTTAAAAGCGTTGGTCATCAATAAACTAGCGAGCACAATATAAGATGTGAAAAAGTGGTGTCACTGTCAACTCTGTTATCAACTTGAAAATATTGTGATGTTCTCTATGTCACCGCTAAAATGGTAGCCTGTTAAAAACACTACAATAAAGTGCATTGATTAACTGTCTGCGATATATTTGTTCATATTAAATGGTGTAAAGCTGTAGCTATAACCATCGCTCTTAAGGAAGAATCGAAGGGAGAATAATCCCTTAAGTAGGCAAATAATGATCTTTTACAACAAAATAATCAATATGTTGCTTTGATAAATTATCCCTAGATATCAAAAGTGAGATATCATTAACCTATTAACTATATAAATTGTTTTTATTGAATAGTTTGGTGTTTGCGCACAATATCATGTAAGGAGGCACAATGGGCATAATGTGTTTTTTACTTTCCGGCCGCTTGGTGACGCCACCGTTGCGGAGGATAAAAAATTAACATATAGTGAGTTATTCTCCTAGTCTCAGAATCCTTGATGTAACTCAGTAAAACATGTTTATGACGATATAACTCAGTAATACATCTGCCTATGACTATATAACTCAGTAATACATCTGCCTATGACTATATAACTCAGTAATACATCTGTCTATGACTATATAACTCAGTAATACATCTGTTTATGACTATATACTCAGTAACACACCTGTTTATGACTATATAACTCAGTAATACATATGTCTATGACTATATAACTCAGTAACACACCTTTCTATGACTATATAACTCAGTAACACACCTTTCTATGACTATATAACTCAGTAACACACCTGTCTATGACTATATAGCTCAGTAGCACATCTGTCTATGACTATATAACTCAGTAACACATCTGTCTATGACTATATAACTCAGTAACACATCTGTCTATGACCATATAACTCGGTAACACATCTGTCTATGACTATATAACTCAGTAACACATCTGTCTATGACTATATAACTCAGTAACACATCTGTCTATGACTATATAACTCGGTAACACATCTGTCTATGACTATATAACTCAGTAATACATCTGTCCATGACTATATAACTCAGTAACACACCTTTCTATGACTATTTAACTCAGTAACACACCTGTCTATGACAATATAGCTCAGTAGCACTTCTGTTTATGACTATATAACTCAGTAGCACATCTGTCTATGACTATATAACTCAGTAACACATCAGTCTATGACTATATAACTCAGTAATACATCTGTCCATGACTATATAACTCAGTAACACATCTGTCTATGACTATGTAACTCAGTAAAACATGTTTATGACGATATAACTCAGTAATACATCTGCCTACGACTATATAACTCAGTAATACATCTGTCTATGACTATATAACTGAGTAACACACCTTTCTATGACTATATAACTCAGAAACACATGTCTATGACAATATAGCTCAGTAGCGCATCTGTTTATGACTATATAACTCAGTAGCACATCTGTCTATGACTATATAACTCAGTAACACATCTGTCTATGACTATATAACTCAGTAACACATCTGTCTATGACTATATAACTCTGTAACACACCTGTCTATGACTATATAACTCAGTAAAACATCGGCCTATGACTATATAACTCAGTAATACATCTGCCTATGACCACATAACTCAGTAATACATCTGCCTATGACCATATAACTCATTAATACATATATTAATGACTATATAACTCAGTAACACATCTGTCTATGGCTATATAACTCAGTAAAACATGTTTATGACTATATAACTCAGTAATACATCTGCCTAAGACCACATAACTCAGTAATACATCTGCCTATGACTATATAACTCAGTAATACATCTGCCTATGACCACTTAACTCAGTAATACATCTGCCTATGACTATATAACTCAGTAATACATCTGCCTATGACCACATAACTCAGTAATACATCTGGCTATGACTATAGAACTCAGTATTACATCTGCCTATGACTATATAACTCAGTAATACATCTGCCTATGACTATATAACTCAGTAAAGCATCTGTCTATGACTATATAATTCAGTAACACATCTGTCTATGACTATATAACTCAGTAACACATCTGTCTATGACTATATAACTCAGTAAAACATGTTTATGACTATATAACCCAGTAATACATCTGCCTATGACTATATAACTCAGTAATACATCTGCCTATGACTATATAACTCAGTAATACATCTATTAATGACTATATAATTCAGTAAAACATCTGTCTGACTATATAATTCAGTAACACATCTGTCTATGACTATATAACTCAGTAACACATCTGTCTATGACTATATAACTCAGTAACACATCTGTCTATGACTATTTAACTCAGTAAAACATGTTTATGACTATATAACCCAGTAATACATCTGCCTAAGACCACATAACTCAGTAATACATCTGCCTATGAATATATAACTCAGTAATACATCCACCTATGACTATATAACTCAGTAATACATCTGCCTATGACTATATAACTCGGTAATACATCCGCCTATGACTATATAACTCAGTAATACATCTGCCTATGACTATATAACTCAGTAATACATCTATTAATGACTATATAACTCGGTAACACACCTGTCTATGAACCTTAATACATTATAATGTTTGAGATGACTTTATGACATGATAAATATTGTCTATACTGTTAATAGACAGAATTACGGTGAATGACAGTAATTTAATGAAAGAAAACAAAAAACTAAAAGTATAATAAATGGTTAATAATTCTTCTAAGAAAATCCAGTGAGTGTCAACATTGCCTGGTATTAGGTTCGTGAAAATAATATGGCGGAATAACCTTGTTGATGACTCTACTGCTCTGGGTTGACTTTGTGATGTAACTGATCTGAATAGAGTGTTACATCTACGACAATACTACAGGTAAAACAATATGGCGGAAGAAGCAGGTAGTGACTCACTTTCTGGGGTGACCTTGTCCTTTTTGGGGCAGCCTGAGAGAGAACGATGGTGGGAGTAGAGGCCGGTGGCGTGACCCGTCCCGTTACATCCCGGCGTAGGGCACTTACTGCTCTCTGTAACACCCATAACACTGTGTTAATACTGTACTGGTCTCTGTAACACCCATAACACTGTGTTAATACTGTACTGGTCTCTGTAACACCCATAACACTATGATGATGATGATTATGATGATGATGACGGGTGGTGGTGGTGATGATAGTGAGGGTAATGAAAATGAGGGTGGAAGTACATTACGTATGAACGAACACAAAACACGTATAAACAAAGAAACACACATACAGCACAACACCCCCCTTCCCCCACACACAACACCCTCCCCATACACACACCAACACCCGCTCCGTCAACCCCTTTAGTTCTAACCATCTGAAAATAACCAACTTAGTCTCCTATGCTCTTTTCACAACAACAATAATGCAGAAAACTCAAAATGTCACGGATACATCAAGTGAAAGATTAGCCTATAACAAGAAGGAGGAGGAGGTCGATACACGAGTTCTTATGTCACCTTCTCGTGCCTGAAGACCATCGATATATCTGAACCAAACATGGGAGTGTGTGTGTGTGTGTGTGTGTGTGTGTGTGTGTGTGTGTGTGTGTGTGTGTGTGTGTGTGTGTGTGAAGGAATGTTGATGCAAAAATCCCCTCTAAATCTAGGTCTTGATATCACACCCCCGCCCACTTTCCCAGCCGAAGTATATTGCAGTCTGTAACCATTGAAACTTAAGTTAATAAATAAATAAATAAATAAATAAAACTTTTAATCTCGTCCGTCGGGTAGTGCACACACTGATTGGTTAAAACTACTAACTTTTTAAAAAATATTTGACCTTTGACCTCTTTAGACTTTTGATGGAGGTCAAAATGAAGATAATAAATAATTAGTAATGTGGTCCGGGTGTTCTTAGGAAATTTTCAAGATGTTAGGTCAAGATTTTTAAAGATTAGAAGAGTTATGTTTCCTGGTGGGGTGAAATATACAGGAAAAAGACGTGTTTTCTCTCCTTATGGAAAGAAGAAGACAGAACAAAGAAGGAGAATGGAGAAGGAGAAGAAGGAGAAAAGAGGAGGAGGAGAAGGAAAAAAGAGGAGGAGGAGGAGAAGAAAGGAGGATAAGGAGAAAAAAGGTGAAAGGAGGAGGAAGAAAAGAGAAAGGAGGATGGGGAGAAAGGAGGACAAAATGAGAACAGAGGAGAGAAAGGAGGAGGAGGAGAAAGAAAGAGTAAGAGGAGAAAGAAGGATGAGGAGAAAAAAGGAGAAAGAAGAAGAAAAAATAGGAGGAATGGATTAGGGTGGGAGAGGGTTAGGGGACAGACAGATGAACGGGGACGTGAGAGGACAGAGGGAGGAACACGGTGCATTCCATCAAAGAGACTAGAGGATGAAGACATGTTCTTATGTTAGCCTCGGGGCCTCAAAGGGGGAGGGGAAAGGGGGTTAGATGATGGGGGAGGGTATAAAGGAAAGGGGGGAGGAGAAAGGAAAGGGGGAGGAGACAGGGAAGAAGGGTAGGTGGGTGTTTGTCCTCTCGTGTTCAGCCTCCCCATCATCTTCCTCCTACTCTTCCTCCTACTCCTACTCTTCCTGCATCAGTAAATCACTCCCGCGGTAAAACGGACGATAACAGGGGTTTTATTTTCATTTTTTTTTTGGCCCTCCCTCCTCGTGTTCATCTCAAGGGGAGCAAAATCCCGACAGATATATATTTTTTTTTTACACCGTGGCCTTAACTAAAGATCAAATTTCCCCCGTCAACACAGTGAAGGAATGGCTATGATAATATATGAAAAGTAGCCCCAAAAGTAGACCCCTCTGAGGCCCACCACGCTGTAAAAAGGGCGCGATAATTAAAAGAGGAGAGAGAGAGAGAGAAGAAAAAAAAAGAAGTGGTTTAAATGGAAAAGTTAGGGGGAGAGGCTATTTTACTGGGAGCCATGAGTGTGTGGGAGGGGGTGGGGGGGTGGTGAGGGAGAAGTGAGGGTGAATGGGGAGGAGAGTGGTGAGGTTGAAGTGAGATGGGACGGTGGTAAGGAATGGGCGTGAGGGAGGAGGGTGGTGAGTGAGGTGGAGGAGGTGAGAATGAGTGGGGGAGGGTGGTGAGTGTGGGGTGGAGAGGTGGAAGGGTGAGTGAGGGGGAAGGATGGGGGTGGAGTGGGGGGGGGAGGGGTGGTGGGGAGGAGAGTGGGAGGTGGATGGGGGAGAGGGTTAGGAGGAGATGGGGGAACAGGAAGAAGTGGATTTGGAGAAAAGAATTGAAGGGGATGAGGAAAGGGCAGGAGAGAAAAGCGTAGTGGGAAGGGTTCTTTATGAGGCAATAATGTAGGACTGGAGATGATAATACCACTCATAGAGTCCTCAGCCATCAAACCTCAAGTCCGTACCCCCTCTTCACTATCTTCACCCCAGAAGACCTACATCACACCCAACTTTTTTAACAATTAGCCATTTTTTCCCTCAGAGATTCTTAATGAACAAAATCATAATTAATCGAGTAATTAATTCTGATAGCGGGTGTGCCATTGATGTAGTCCCCTGAAGCTATTTTAGGCTCAAGTATTGATAGTGGCAGAGTTATTATTATTATTTATTTAATTTTTTTTTAAAGGTGTTCTTGTTTCGTTGAGTCGGATTCGGATTCTGTTGGATTTTTTTTTTTGGTAGTGAAGGTAAATAAATAATGTGTTCAAGGGAGTAGGGGTTAGGTTAGGTTTTGTATATAAACACATATGTGAAAGTGCAAACACAAACACACACACACACACACACACACACACACACACACACACACACACACACACACACACACACACACACACACACACACACACACACACACACACACACACACATATCATGGGACAGGCCTACCATACATCCATACACCATGAACACATCACCAACCACACCACGAGTACCACACCACCACTCCCATAACTACCACATAACCACTCCCACTCCACAATACCACATCACCATCCACATGACTACCACACAACCACGACACAGCACCACAACTCAACCCCCACAACTACCACACAACCACCCCTACAGTACCACACCACCTCCCCTAGAACTACCACACAACCACCCCTACAGTACCACACCACCTCCCCTACAACTTCTACACAACCCTACATTTCCACATACCACACCTCCCCTACAACTACCACACAACCACCCCTACAGTACCACACCACCTCCCCTACAACTACCACACAACCACCCCTACAGTACCACACCACCTCCCCTACAACTACCACACAACTACCCCTTAACCACCACACTACAGCTTCTCAAATGCCTCTATGAATGTATTTTATTTTTCCTATACTACTCAAGATTATTGGGTCTACTATATGCTTTATCTCTTTCCTAATCCTAGAAAAAAATCGACATTACATAAACTTTCAAATGGAAGCTAATATGGCGACGAGAGAATAGCATCACTAAGTTAAAGAAATAGGATAAAAGCGACAATAAATGGGGTAGAAAAGAAGAGAAGTTGAGAAGAATGGAGGAGAGAGACAGAGCAACAAGGCAAACGTACGTGCGTTCGTACGTGTGTGTGTGTGTGTGTGTGTGTGTGTGTGTGTGTGTGTGTAATTAATAGTTTATTTACAGGTCGAAATCGATAACAGGCAGACGATTTTTGCGTTTCATGTATCCAGCCATCCTGTACTGTCCTGTCACTAACCTGCCATCCTGTACTGTCCTGTAAACTATAACCCTCTACCTCTCACTTTGTTCCCTCTACCTCTCACTTTGTTCCCTCCATCTCTCACTTTGTTCTCTCTACCTCTCACTTTGTTCCCTCCATCTCTCACTTTGTAACCTCCAACTCTGACTTTCTACCCTCCACTTCCCAATTTGTTCCCTCTATCTCTCACTTTCTACCCTCCACCTCTCACTTTCTAACATCTACCTATCACTTTGTTCCCTCCATCTATCAATTTGTAACCTCCAACTCTGACTTTTTAACCCCCCACTTCTCAATTTGTTCCCTATATCTCTCACTTTCTACCCTTCACCTCTGACTTTGTTCCCTTCCATCTCTTTCTTTGTTCCCTTCCATCTCTCATTTTGTTCCCTCTACCTCTCTCTTTGCTCCTTCCACCTCTCACTTTCTACACTTCTTCAATATTTCTCCTTTTCCTTGCCTCCCTTTCTCTCCCTTCTCACTCCACCCCATTCTCCCCTCACTCTCCTCTCTCATCTCCCCTTCCTCTGTACCCTTTTACCTCCACTCCTCCTCCTCTTCCTTCCCTTTCACCTCTTCCATACCTCACTCTTCTCCTCCATTTCCGACCTCTCATCTCCCATACTTATCCGCCCCCCCCCTCACTCTTGCCTCACTCTCATCCCTCTTATCCACGCTTCCCTCACTTCTCACCCCCTGTCCTTCTCTCACTCACCAACTACATTCCCCTCACCTTCCCACCTCACTCCCCCCCCCTCTTAGACCACCTCATCCCCCTCACTTTCATCCCATCCTCCACTCACTCTCACCCTACTCTACACCTCACAACATTCCAGATGCCAGAAAAATGCAGCATTGTCGTCAAGCGGTAAGGGGAGGGAGTGAGGGGAAGAAGACAAAGGGGGAAGGCGATCATTTTTGGTGTTGGTAATTAAAGGAAGAAGCGGGAATGATACTAAGCTGAGCCGTGACACTAAGACTAAGATCATTCTCAGTTTAGCGTTTTGTTTCTAGGATTTTCGTTCGCTTGATTTGTTTCTCCTGTCTTGAGGAAATGGGTGCCGAGTGTGTGTGTCCTTATCCATGGTTGGTGCTGAGTGTGTGTGTGTGTGTGTGTGTGTGTGTGTGTGTGTGTCCTTATCCATGGTTGGTGCTGAGTGTGTGTGTGTGTGTCATATCCATCTGGGCTGAGTGTGTGTGTGCCTCCTATGGTTGGTGCTGAGAATGTGTGTGTACCTCCATGTTGGTGTGTGTGTGTGTGTGTGTGTGTGTGTGTGTGTGTGTGTGTGTGTGTGTGTGTGTGTGTGTGTGTCCTTATCCATGGTTGGTGCTGAGTGTGTGTGTGTGTGTACC